CACACTGTAGGGGCTCTATGATCTGAGCTGAATCAGTCCCCCAGCCCCCAATAGGAATTGTCTATCCCTTGTGAAGAGGAAGAGTTGAGCTCCCATCTTACAACGCTGCAGGCCATGTTGTACAGGAACATCCCCAGGCCTCTTAAGGATGGAGCTCCATGGCTTTTCCAAATGACAGTGAAGGAACGGCAACATCGTTCCAGGTCAGGATGGTGTGTGGATTGGAGGGGAGTGACAAATGGTGGTGCTCCTGTGTATCTGCTGCCTTGTATGAGGCAGACGTTACAGCTTTGGAACAGTGCTTGGGAAGGAGTCTTTGGTCAGTGATTTCTGACCAGCTATGAGAGTGGGTTATGCCTCTACCACTGGCCACACACATCGCCTCAAAGTTACACTGATCAGAGGAAGGTAGATCTTAATGCTGTCTTACACCAGATCATTGCACAATTCTAACCAGCGAAGTGGAGCAGCTGATTTTCTCTTCTCATACATAGAAATGTAGGAATTAAGGAACAAAACTATTCCACCATTCCATGTGATCCTGGCTAATCTAGTAATGGCCTGGACTCCACATTCCTGCCTGTCTCCTTGCTCTGCACTGAGCTCCTTTCCGAACTCATTCATCAGATGTTCTGAAGCCAATCCTTTCCTCCATCCCGATCACGTCTTGATTATTCCCTTCCTCTGCCATTGAGTAACATTGGTGGCTCAGTGGTTAGCACTGCTGCCTAACAGAGCCAGGGACCCAGGTTCAATTCCACCCTTGGGTGACTGTCTGTGTGGAGTTTGCACGTTCTCCCCGTGTCTACATGGATTTCCTCTGGATACTCCTGTATCCTCCCATAGTCCAAAGATGTGCAGGTTAGGGTGGATTGGCCATACTAAATTGCCCTGTATTGCCAAGGGGTGTGCAGGTTAGGTGGATTAGTCATGGGGGTAGAAGCCCTGTTATGGAGATACGGTGGGATACACTTCTAGGGGTTGCTGCACACTCAATAGGCCAAATGGCCTCTATCTACACTGTAGGGATCTGATGATTTCAATTGTAATATTTGTCCACCCCATTCTGGTTTTAGTTCCACCACTGAAGTCAATAATGGATGATGTTTAAAACTCTTGGAGTTCCCGGCCTAGCCAGCGCATTAAAAACTGCTCCTAATTAGCTTCAGGTCACCTCGGGATCCAAGAGTTCCAGGTCTTCTCCTCACCCTCATTGGCTGCTGGTTGCTCGGGACAACCTGAAATGAACAACCTCTCTCTCTCTCTCTCTCTGGCCACAAACTGCAGAGGGAGCTCGGAGGCGTTGGCAAAGAGCAGCTCCAATTTGTGTTCATTTCCTCAGCAGTTGCTCCAGCAACGTTCCAAACCCCATGGAATAAGCTCACACTTTAGCAATGAGACGGAGGCTCCTTCGAGCAAAGATCTCTGCGGCACGCCAACAGGATGCTACAGCAAAGGTAGCAAGTTGAGCTGATGTCTGTAACTGACATTAAGATGGCAAACAGTCTGAATAAAGGCCCTTTTCAACAGCAAACTCTCTCCTGCTATTAATTGACTGACTGATGGTCACTTGTGTTGAAAGCCTAAGGTAGTCTCTCTACATGCCCAGCACTCAGACAGAGACAGAGAGAGAGAGAGAGGCAAATAGTTGTGACGGTGATAGAGAGACACTGTGTCCTAGGGTATTCAATATATAAAGAGGGAAGGAGATGCAACCCATAGAGACTGAATAACAAAAAGGGGGGAAATTGGACTTTAGCCGAGTTGGTTCATGTTCATGAAACGTTCTATTGAATCGAACCGAAGCATGAAGTAGGGAGAAAGGTGAGAACCGGTTTTCCATTTTCTCAAGCCTGGAAAGAAAGAAAGCAGCTGCAAACTTTTAAAAGGTTTCTGATTTATTTGGAGTGTGTCCCTAATGTGGGCGGCTATAGCCCATAGTGAGAGTCAGATCCAATATTTCTTACACAGCGCTGTTGGAACCACACTGCCTATTGCTGAGTCAGTTGACAAGTATACATTTGCAGGACACAGGCTTTGCTGGTGAGGCCAGCATTTCGGGCCAATCTCTAGCTGTCCTTGAGAAGGTGGGTGAGAGACCCTCGACTTTTCTCCAACGGCTGCGATGCATTTACACCCACAATGGATCATTTCCTGTGGCTGTTTGATGCAACTGAACACCATGCTCGGCCATTTCCAAGGGGCGGATTCAGATACACCCACATTGCTGTGGATCTGGAGTCATAAGTAGAGTGGATTGGGGAGTAAAATTTGCAGGCTTGTTTCTTGAGAGAATCAGTGAACCAAATGGGTTTTTACGACAATGTTCACAGTCAGCATTACTTAGACTGGCATTTTGTTGCTGATTGGTTCACTTGCTAGAGTGGCTCAGTGGTTAGCACTGCTGCCTCACAGTGCCAGGGACCCAGGTTCGATTCCAGCCTCGGGCGACTGTCTGTCTCCCCGTGTCTGTGTGGGTTTCATACCACCGTCCAAAGATGTGCTGGTTCAGCGAATTGGCTATTGGAAATGCAGAGAGATTGGGTGGGATGCGCTTCAGAGAGTCAAGTGTGGGCTCGAATGGGCCCTATAACCTAAGTTCCACATTCCAGGGACTCACCTTTCCACATTGTTCCCTTAACTCTCTCAGAAGCCACAATCTTTGTCCTGGATATGGTCAACAAGACAGCTCCCTAGGACTGAAAACTCGTAACCGATAAAGTGAAGAAATTTAGCTTCATCTCAGTCCCAAATCGTCAAACCATGACTGTGGCCCTGTGCTTCCTGCTTCTAGATTTTCCAACGGAGTGAAACAGTTTCTCATTTTTCACCTTGAGAAAGCCCTTTAAGAATCATTGATGATTCAAATTCATCATCTCTCGTTCTTCTGACACCTTGGGACTGTAGATCTAGTCTCAGGTCTGCAGAGCCACAACAGGAGGACGTGGTGTCATGGTGGTGATTTCATTGTCAAGTAATCCAAAGGCATGGGCTACTAAAGTGGGGGGGTGATGGAATTTAAATTCGATGAATAAATGAGGAACGTAAAGCTGGTGTCAGTCACAGTCACCATCCCATTGATTGCTGTCATTAAATAAAACGCATCTGGTTCACTGCTGTCTCTCAGGGAAGGTAAAAGAGGTCAGCAGGACAGAAAAATGCTCTTTGGCCTATCAAGCCTGCACCAGTCTAACTATTCTAATCCCATTTTCCCTTGGCATTGCTTGTACACATCTATATCCTTAAATGTTATGAGGGGTTGTGAGTCTACCACCTTTATGGGCAGCAAGTTCCAGTTTCCCAACACTCTTTGGATGATAAAGAACCTCATGTCCTCTTTAAACCTACCTTTCCTTAAATCTGTGTCTCCTGGTCATTGATCCTTCCAGCAAGTGAAAAGATTTCTTGCCTTCCACATATCTTTGCCCCTCATAATTGTATACATTTCAACCAGATCCCCCTGACCCCAACTCCCTCAGTCTCCTCTGATCTAAAGAAATCAACCCCAGACTGTCCAATCTGTCTTCCTAACTGAAACTCTCTAGTCAAGGCAACATCCTGGTAAATCTCCCCTTCTGCCTTTATTGGTCAGTGCATTGAGTATAGGAGTTGGGAGGTCATGTTGCAGCTGTACAGGACAATGGTTAGGCCACTTTCGGAATGCTGTGTTCAGTTCTGGTCTCGCTGCTATAGGAAAGATGTTGTTAAGCTTCAAAGGGTTCAGAAAAGATTTATAAGGATGTTATCAGGGTTGGAAGGTTTGAGCTACAGGTAGAGGCTGAATAGGCTGGGACTATTTTCCCTGGAGCATCAGAGGCTGAGGGGCGGCCTTATAGAGGTTTGTAAAATCATGAGGGGCATGAATAGGGTAAATAGACAAGGTTTTTTTCCCCAGGGTTGGGGAATCTAAACCTGAACCTAGACAGCATAGGTTTAAGGTGTGACAGCAAAGATTCAAAAGGGACCTGAGAGGTAACTTTTTCACACAGAGGGTGGTGCGTGTATGGAATGAGTTGCCAGAGGAAGTGGTGGAGGCTGGTACAATTACAACATTTAAAAGGCATCTGGCTGGGTATATGAATAGGAGGATTTAGAGGGATATGGGCCTGATGCTGGCAAATGGGGCTAGATTAATTTAGGATATCTGGTCAGCATGGACAAGTTGGACCAAAGGGTTTGTTTCCGCGCTGTACATCTCTATGACTCTATGCAAAGGCATCCCTCCTGTAGCGTGGATCCCAGAACAGCACACAATACTTTAGCTGCAATCCGAACCTGGCATTTTTCTTTATTCTTTATTTATTCACGGGATGAGGGCATCACTGTCCAGGCAGCATTTATTGCCCATCCCTAATTGCCTAGATGGCAGTTAAGAGTCAATCACATTGTTGTGGGTCTGGAGTCACATGTAGGCCAGACCAGGTAAGGATGACAGTTTTCTTCTCTAAAGGGCATTAGTGAACCAGATGTGTTTTTCCAACAATTAACAATGGATTCATGGTCATCATTAGATTCTTAAATCCAGATATTTTTATTGAATTCAAATTCCACCATCTGCCCTGGTGGGATTCATACCCCGGGTCTCCGGAACATTATCTGGGCCTCTGGACTAACAGTCCAGCTGTAATACCATTAGGCCATCACCTCCGCATGACTCCAGACTCAAAGCAATGTGGTCAGCCCTCAGAGATAGTAGGAACTGCCAATGCTGGAGTCTGAGCTAACAAGTTGTGGAGCTGGAAGAACACAGCAGGCCAGGCAGCATCGTTCCTGACGTTCCTGCTCCTCTGATGCTGCCTGGACTGCTGTGTTCCTCCAGCTCCACACCTTGTGGTCAGCCCTTAGCCGTCCCATTCAGTGTGAGGGCAATCAGCAGGTGACAAAGGGAGGTCCAGCCAACAACGTCCGCATCCCACGAAACAACTTTTCTCTTTTAAAAGGAAAGAAACTGCAATTATTCCCCTTTCCGCGCCCTCCTACCGCTTCAAAACCCCCAGCTCTCAGATAACCTGGTGGCAGATTTTGAGAGGGTTGGTGTTGGTGTCTGCGCTGGGATAAAAGAACGGGAAGAGCTTCTCGCTGAAGGTGTCCACGAAGGTATGGAGGTGGGCCATGTCCTCAGCGTCATAGAACGACACCTGGCCCTCCTCGTGGTCCAGGTAGACGCCGATCCTGGAGCGCTCCACGTGGCCGAAGGTCCAGAAGCCGTTCTCCGGGGTGAGAATTACCCAGCCCTCCCGGTCGATGGATTCCGCCGCTACCCCTACGTCCCAGTCCGGCTGTCTGCCCACATCCACCTCCCAGTAGTGCTTGCCAGACTCAAACCCCTCCGAGGCCAGCACGCAGGCGCAGAAGTCGAAGCGCTCCAAGTTGTCGGGAAGCTGTTGCGAGGTGTAGGAATACTTGGCGGCAGTCAAATCCTCTGAGAGCACCAGGTACGGGTTGGCGGAGCGAGGGTCAAGGGTCAGCGGGGCTGGCACTGCAAGGCACGAGAGAGAGAGAAAACAACAGTGTCAATTATTGGCCAACTTGCGATCGATCGTCCCAATTTAAGTCTAACATAGAATATAAGGAGATCGGTGGGGGCCCTCTTGTGGTGCAGCGGCAGTGTCCCTACACCTGGACTGAGAGACCAGGGTTCCAGGGGTGTATAATAACATCATTGAACAGATTGATTAGGAAAATAGGTTAAATAAAGAAATAATATATAAGGAGATCAGAGGGGCCTGTTGTGGTGTCTCTATCCTTGAGCCCGGAAGCCTGGGTTCAAGTTCCACTTGCTCCAGAGGTGTGTCACAACATCTCTGAACAAGTTAAATCAAAACATAGTTTCATAAATTAATTAAAAAACATATAAGGAGATCAGAATGTGGGTGGCCAAACGATTGTACCTGACTCTACAATCATTACGATGTAACAAATTAGGCCAAAGTACATATCTTGAAGGGCGTTCCTGATGATGAAGGGATTCCAGATGCAGGGGTCGCATCAGGATAAGGATACAGCATCAGCCATTTAGGACACAGATCAGGAGTAATCTCTTCACCTAGAGAGTGCTCAGCCTATGGAATTCATTATCACCGAAAATAAACGAAGTCAAAACATTGCATGATTTCAAGGAAGAGTTGGATATTGCAATAGGGAGCGAAAGGGGTCAAAGGGTATTGATGGGGTTGGGGGTTGAATGTACAGGCTATTGATTTGGATGATCAGCCATGATCATAATGAATGGGCGAGCAGGCGCGAAGGGCTGAATGGCCTACTCCTGCTCCTATTTTCTATACTTCTGTGAAGCAAATACAGAAGCTTTGTGATCATAAAAGCAAAACACTGTGGATGCTGGAAATCTGAAGCAAAATACTGAGAATGCTGGAGAAACTCAGCAGCTCTGGCTGTACCAGTGGAGTGACAAACAGAGCTAACATTTCCAGTCCAATATGACTCTTCTTCAGAGACACTCAAAACGTCAACTCTGTTTCTCTCTCCACAGATGCTGCTGGACCTGCTGAGTTTCTCCAGCATTCTCCGCGTTTCGTTTCAGATTTCCGGCATCCGCAGTATTTTGCTTTTACGATCTTGTCAAATTGGTTAAAGGATTTATTGACATTTGACTCAAAAGCTTCTTGTCAGCATTTTTAACAATGTGTCCTTTCGCGGGGTGTGGGCATTTCTGGCAAGGCCATCATTTGTGGCCAATCATTATTACCCTTAAACTGGGTGGTTTGCCAGGCTTATTTCAGAGGGCAGTTAACAGTCAAGCACTATTGCTGTGGGTCTGGAGTTATGTGTAGGCCAGACCGTGTGGGATGGAAGATTTCCTTCCCTAAAAGCTATGAGTGAACCAGATGTGATTTTGCAAACACTGATGATAGTTATTCATGACTCTAGCTGTATATTTTCAGATTTATTCCATCAGATTTAAAATTCCAACATTTGCCATGGTGAGATTTGAGCAACAGTCCCCAGGGCATTAATCACTCCAGGCTTCTGGTCCAGTGGCATCAGTGCTCCTCATGAACCTTGTGCCACCCTTCTTAATTTCATTCCCATCAACAATTTCTTCCATTCCCTTCTCTCTCTAGCTCTCTCTTAGTTGGATCTATGCTTTTCTTGTTCATGAAGTGCACATTCAAACCGCAAATAATTACCCCGCTGCTGATATCCCAGGACAGATAATCGACACATCATTACATTGCGGTCAGTGGGAGCTGGATGTATGTAAACTGGTTGCTGCATTGGCTGCAAAAGGGCAGTGGCGAAATACACTTGCAAGTCCTTTGTGTGTCCTTTTCCAAGGACACCACCCATGTACAATAATCTTCAGAACTGCACCTAACAACACGATTGGTCCCCTGTCCCAAGGTAAGACAACTTTTAGCAGTGAGGAACCTACTCTTAGAGCTTGACCGTTCTGCTGCCGCATTGTGGGATTCACTCCACAACCAGATCAGCCGTGATCTTATTGAACGGTGCAGCAGGCTTGAGGGGCCGATTGGCCTAGTTCAGCTCCTGGTTTGTACGCTAGTATTGTGAGGTAATCGAGCAAGTGAAGGAATGATTTGCATTCGTGCAGCAACTTCATGAGCACATACCTTATGGCCAATGATTTACTGCTGTGAGAAGAGAAACTCGCAGTCAATTTACACATAGCAAGCTCCCCCTGACAGAGATGAGGTATTATTTTCGTCGGTGGCGCTGATTGAGCGGTAAATAGCAGCGAGTGCATGGAAGATAACTCCAATGCTTTGGGCCAATTGAGCTGGCACAACATCTCCTTCGACAGGTAATACAACGCTCCTTCAGTCCCGCATTGGAATATCAATGCGAATAGTTATGCTACAATGGGACTTGAACTAGGAACCCCTCACCTAAACCCCGACTCAGGGGCAAACATGCTGCTAACTGAACCAAAACTGAGGCACCAAGTGCTCAAGTTGTCTTGCATGGCCCGGTCTTTCACGATCTTAAACCAGACTCACCTTAGTTGCCCTGGAGATAAACGCAGACACATCTGGGAGTTATTTATGACCACTGACTTGATGCAATCTCATTCGCATTCACTTCCACCTCAATAGCAGCAACTCTGTGCTACTGTGCTGCACCCGAGACCGTGGCAGGGAGAGTGAATTAAACATGAGCAGGGCCAGCAGCTGAGGTACAGGAGCTGTGGTTAACCACAGACCGTAACAGTAAAACTATACTGCGCTGTTTCTTCTGTCTGCTGGTTTTTTTGACCAACTGCTCCTTCCCTCAGTCCCTGGAGGGAAACACACCTGATGGCCCCAAGACCTGGGAAAGAGGATAATTGACGGAGCGGTGGGGAAAGGGTTAGGAGGAGTGGGACCAATCGGAGAGCTTGCTCATAGGGCTAGCAGGGGCATCATGGATCAAATGGCCTCCTTCTGCGCTGTAAGGTTCCGCGCCTGGCCTCAGCAAAATGCTCATCGAATCAGAAGGCCATTTGGCCCACAATGTCCATTCGCTCTCCAGTTCTTCCCATCCCCTCCTTACCACCTACTTCTTCCACATAGCCCTGCAAATTCGATCCATTTCATGTGTTGATCTGAAGCTCTTTCGAAGGGTTGAAAAAGCAAATTTGTGCTGACAATGCTTTCAATCAGTTGAACATTCTTTCAGTTTCTTGGGCCTTAAGCTTCAGAAAGGCTACCCTAAACCGTTCCTCATTTAAGGCATTCCTCGGAACCCATGTCTTCCACAAAGTGTTCGTTCTTTATGCCTTACCTTACATCTCATCACAGTGGCCTGGTTTGTTTTAGTATGCTCCTGTTAAGGGTATTTAGTTAGAGTCATACAGACATACAACTCAGAAACAGATCCTTTGGTCCAACTTGTCCATGCTGACCAGATATCCTAAATTAATCTAGTCCCATTTGCCAGCATTTGGTCCATATCCCTCTAAACCCTTCCTATTCATGCACCCATCCTGATGCCTTTTAAATGTAATTGTACCAGCCTCCACCACTTCCTCAGGCAGCTCATTCCACACACGCACCACCCTCTGTGTGAAAAAGTTGCACCTTAAGTTCTTTTTAAATCTTTCCCCTCTCACCTTCAACCTTTGCCCTCTAGCTTTGGACTTCCCTATCCTGGGGAAAAGACTTTGGCTATTTACCCTACCCATGCTCCTCACGATTTTATAAACCTCTATAAGGTCACCCCTCAGCCTCTGAGACTCCAGGGACAATGGTCTATTCAGCCTCTCACTATAGCTCAAACTCTCCAACCCTGGCAACAACCTGGTAAATCTTTTCTGAACTCTTTCAAATTTAATGTTTTATTGTCCTGTATAGATCATACAACAGATCGTAGAATCCCTACAGTGTGGAAACAGGCCCTTCGGCCCAACACGATAAGCTTTCATTTCTTGTACGGACTTCCCCAGTTTCACTTGAGGGAGAATCGAGAACTAGGGGTTAGAGTTTAAAAATTAGGAGGCATCCACTTAAGACAGAAATAAGGAAGCATTTCTTTATTCTTAGAGAGTTGAGATTCTTTGGGATTCCTTTCCTCAAAAGGCAATGGGTACGGAATGTTTCAATACTTTTAAGGTAGAGGTAGGTAGGTTCCTGATGCCTGTGGGGGTGAAAGATTATCAGAGGGTGTGCAGGAATATAACGGGTAAAATCAGATCAGCCACGATCTTATTGAAAAGCAAACTGACAAACTGCAGATGCTAGAAAACAGAAATTGCTGGAGAAACTCAGCAGGTCTGCCAGCATCTGTGGAGAGAGAAAGCAGCGTTAATGCGACTCTTAGTCTTAGAATTTTTTTTCATTTTTGAATCCAGACAGTGTGGAAACAGGCCATTTGGCCCAACAAGTCCACACCACCCTGCTGAACAGCATCCCACCCAGATCCATCCTGCTATTTCCCGTGTCTAATCCACCTAATTTACACACCTCTGGACACTATGGGTAATTTAGCATGGCCAAGCCACCTAACCTGCACATCTTTGGACTGTGGGAGGAAACTGGAGCGCCCAGAGGAAACCCATGCAGACATGGGGAGAATGTGCAAACTCCACGCAGACAGTTGTGCGAGGGTAGGATCGAATCTGGGTCTCTGGGGCTGTGAGGCTGCAGTGCTAACCACTGAGCCACCATGTCACCCCTTCAGATCTATCTTATTGAATGACAGAGAAGACTTGAAATGTCTATTTGTGGTCCTTGTTTTTTTTTAATCTCACCTATTTTTCTAATTTTGAGCTATAGGGAGAGGCTGAATAAGCTGGGGCTATTTTCCCTGGAGTGTCGGAAGCTGAGGGGTGACCTTATAGAAGTTTATAAAGTCACGAGGGGCATGGATAGGGTGAATAGCCAAGGACTCTTCCCCAGGGTAGGGGAGTCCAAAACTAGAAGATATAGGTGAGAGGGGATAGGTTTATAAAGTACTTAAGGGGCAACTTTTTCATACAGAGAGTGGTGTGTGTATGGAATGAGCTGCCAGAGGAAGTGGTGGAGGCTGGTACAATTACAACATTTAAAAGGCACCTGCATGGGTACATGAATAGGAAGGGTTTAGAGGGGTATGGGCCACATGCAACTGGATTAATTTAGGATAGCTGGTCAGCATGGACAAGTTGGACTGAAGGCTTTTTTTTCACCCCCTGTGCTGTACAAATCTGTGACTCTAATCAAACTGTTCAGAGATGTTATTACACATCTCTGGAACAGTTGGGACTTGAACCCAGGTCTCCCAGTCCAGGGCTAGGGATACTGTCACTGCACCACAACAGGGCCACTTGTGTTGTCATTCACATTATCTACAACCCTCATGATTTTGTAAACCTCCGTTAGATTCAACCTCCTGCTCTCCAGTGAAAAACGCTCCAGGCTATCCAACCTCTCCTAATAACCCAAAACCTCCATTCCCTGCAACGTCCTGGTAAATCTCTTTTGAACCCTCTCCAGTTTCATAATATCCTTCCGATAACAATGGCCTCCTCTGTGAATTATATCCAACTCCTGGTGTACCGGCCCTGGGGTTCATGAACCAGTGTAGAAGATGTTTTACTTTGTTTAAAATCCCATGCTATACCTGTCCTCAGAGTGTTTGTCAGAGGGTCAGTGCTGAGGGAGTGCCGCACTGTCGGAGGGTCAGTGCTGAGGGAGTGCCGCGCTGTCGGAGGGTCAGTGCTGAGGGAGTGCCGCACTGTCGGAGAGTCAGTGCTGAGGGAGCGCCGCACTGTCGGAGGGTCAGTGCTGAGGGAGAGCCGCACTGTCGGAGGGTCAGTGCTGAGGGAGCGCCGCACTGTCGGAGGGTCAGTGCTGAGGGAGCGCCGCACTGTCGGAGGGTCAGTACTGAGGGAGTGCCGCACTGTCGGAGGGTCAGTACTGAGGGAGTGCCGCACTGACTAGAGTTGGTATAAGTGAGTGGTGAATAACGGGGTAACATATGTGGGATGTGAAACTGAAACCCTGTACTCTGTGTTTGATAGATGGTAATGAAGTGTTGATGCCTGTTCAGATGATAGTCTTGGCCATTATTTGTCCCCTAACAACTAAAACAGAACACTGGGCAGTAATGTATTGCAGGTTTTGGGAGTTTGCCAGACTCTAACTTGTTACTGCATTATCCGCATCACCAACATGCCTTCCGTTTGGAAAGCAAAAAGCTCAATAATCTTAGGGCCTCTTGTGGCCCAGCTGCAGTGTCCCAGGTTTAAAGTCCCACCTGGCTAGGCTGATTAAAAGTCTCCATAAATCTTTCTTTCCAGTGAGGAAAACGTACTGCTCCAACATGGCAACACACGGGGTAAAGCAGAGTGTCTTTGAATGTTGTCGTCTGGCTGGGAGGATAACATGTAGCTAAGGAAATCACGTGCTCTGTCAGAACTTGCTCTGACCATCTCTGAAAATCCTTATCTCCTGCCATCTGTTCCAGGTCTGCTTTGACTGTGCAGAGAGTGAAGGGCTTTCGAATTGTGCTAACCCACGCATTATCTTGCTGTTTGCAGTGAATCAACACCTTGGGGAGTTGCAGGCATCTGAAACCACCTTATGAAGGCAGAACAGCACAGTCATCTTGCAACTCTCTATCTGTAGCTGCTTTCAGCCTTATCACATAACCACACGCACCTGCATTTTCCATCTGACTGCCAGCGTACAGCTGGTTAACAAAAACAGTGAACAAAGGTGCAGGCTGACATTTATGAACGTGTTCAGGATTGTCCTAAAATATATGAACTTCAATTCCACAACGGAAGGTCAGGGGACTTTGAAAAATATTAGTGCTGTTTTTCCGAAAAAAAAAAATCCTGAACATTTCTCCGCAGATATATTCTCATCAACTGAAGTTACCACACACCTCAGGACCAAGTGAGACATGACTTTAGGCCTCCTAGCTCAGAGTCATGGGCATTACATTTTTTGTGTGAGGGAAACAGTGACTCACAAACTTGAATTGAGTTTTTTGAGGAAGTTACCAAAAAAGATTGATGAGGCAGAGCAGTGGACGTTGTTTCCTTGGAGTTTAGTAAAGCCTTTGACAAGGTTCCGCATGGTTGACTAATGAGTAAGGTAAGATAGCATGGGATTTCAGGGGGAGCTTTCCAATTGGATACAAAATTGGCTTAAAAATTGTAAGCGAGTGATGGTGGAGAGTGGTTTATTGGACTGGAAACCTGTTACCAGAGGCGTACCACAGGGATCGGTGCTGGGTCCATGTTTGTTTGTCATTTATATAAATGATTTAGACAAGAATATAGAAAGCAAGGTGAGTAAGTTTGCAGATGACACCAAAATTGGTGGTATAGTGGACAGTGAAGAAGGTTATCTCAGATTACAAAGAGATCTTGATCAATTGGGTTAATGGGCTGAGGAGCGGCAGATGGAGTTTAATTTGGATAAATGCGAGGTATTACATTTTAGTTAAACAAACAATGGCAAGACTTATATAATTAAAAGTGGGGCCTTGGGTAGTGCTGCTAGAACAGAGAGACCTAGGTGTTCAGGCACATAATTCTTTGAAATTTGCATCGCATATAGACAATTTGACGAAGAAGGCATATAGCACACTTGCCTTCATTGCTGAGATCTTTGAATATATTTGGGACGTCATGTTGAGGTTGTACAGAATGTTGGTGAGGCCTGTTCTGGAGCACTGTGTCCAGTTCTGGTCACCCTGTTATTGGAAGGATATTATTAAGCTGCAGAGGGCTCAGAAGAGAGGTTTTGAGTTGGACTCACATGGATGACAGAGACTAGGTATGGTGTGGGGGCCCTTGTAGTATAGTAGGAGTGCTTCTGTGTCTGAGCTAGAAAACCCGATTACTCCAGCAGCTGTATCATAACATCCCAGAACAGGTTGACTGGGGAAATATCTAGGCAGTGTGTGGGATGGGACCCTTGCTGTAGTATCCCTACCTTTGAGCAAGGAGGCCCATGTTCAAGTCTGACCTGATCCAAAGGTGTGTAATAACACGTTGATTTTTTAAAAATTATAAGTCGAGACATGGTGTGGCGCAGTAGTCAAGACTGAATCCATGGTAGCCACTGATGATTTGAGCTTGTCGGGATGACACAGAAGGGTAGTGAGTATAACACTTGCAGGAAAGCATGATGTATTTTTTGTATTCACGTAGCACCTCTCCTGCCCTCGGAGCTCCCAAAGTGCTTTCCAGTCAATGAAGTACTTTTTGTGCGTCCGTATATTCTTTCAGTGTAGACACTGTTGCAATACAGGAGCTGAAGCAGGTTGTCCACAAACCATAATGTAATTACGCACGAATAATCCTTCTTAAGTGTTCTTGGGGATGAATATTGACCAGGAAGAAGGCACAATCCCTTTCCCCGGCTGCAGCTACAACAGCAGATGGGACTTTGATATAATGTTAGAATCATAAAATCCATACAGGGCAGAAAGAGGCCATTTGGCCCATCAGGTCTGCACCGACCCTCCACCTAGACCTAGCCCCCAACTCGATCCCTACAGCTCCCATTGCTAACCCACCCAGCCTGCACATCCCTGAACACTATGGGCAATTTAGCATGGCCAGTCTACCCTAACCTACACATATTTGGACTGTGGGAGGAAACTGGAGCACCCGGGGGAAACCCACGCAGACACGGGGAGAAACTCCACACAGACAGTTGCCCGAAGCTGGAATCAAACCCAGATTCCTGGTGCTATGATGCAGCAGTGCTAACCACCGTGCCATTCTAACATTCTAGCAACTGGCTCAGCTGACAGTGCTGGAGTTCCTATAATACTGCTCTGGAACGTTAACCTAGGTTTTGGTTTTTCTGAAGAAGGGTCGAGACCCGAAACATCAGCTTTCCTGCTCCTCTGATGCTGCCTGGCCTGCTGTGTTCATCCAGCTCTACACCTTGTTATCTCAGACTCCAGCATCGGCAGTTCCTACTATCTCTTTTGGTTCATACACACGTGCAACGTTATGGGTTCAAGTCCGATTTCAGGGAACTGAGTCTGTAATGCATTCACTCCAGTGCGGTACTCTGTGAAGGTGCTCTGCGCTGTCAACTGTGCCAACTTTCAGCTAATGCCTCAAACTGAGGACCTACCTGGACTTTCGAGTGGACATAGGAAATCCTGTAACATTATTTCAAGGAAGAGCAGGGAAGACATCCCCAGTGTTGCTGCCAATATTTATCCGCAACCAGCATCACTAAATCACAGCTCATCATTTATCTCATGGCTTTTTAGTGGGATGAGCACAATAGCTGCTACAGATCCTTCATCGCACCAGTGTCGCCACTTTATAGACAAAAGCTTTGTTGTGAAGTGTTTCGGGATGTCTCGAGGCTGTGGGAAGATACCTGTACCTTCTGACATGAGGATAGATCAGAGACGCCAGGGCTGATTTCCCTCAGGAGTGGAATGCCGAGAGAGGATTTGACGGATGCATTCCAAACAGTGAGGGGTCTGGATGGAGTAGACGTGGGAAAAAACATTCCCGGCTAGCGAAGGGATTGAGAACGCCAGGGTCAAACCAAGTACAGGGAAACCTTTCTCACCCACTTGTCAGGTCTGAAGTGCAATACCTGAGACTATGGTGGGGACAGGTTTAAATAAGGCATTCAAAAGGGAGTTATCTTTGTATTTTTTAGAAGGAAACCCAGGTAGGGATATCAGGAGCAAAGTTGGAGGTGATGGGGGGTGGGTTGGTTGAACTTTGTGAAATGCTCATTCAGAGAGCTAGCATCGACTTGATGGTCCAAAGGGGCCTCATTGCATGTCTGAAATGATTCTGCGACCCTGTGGCCATGACGCATTTTCTGTTTTTGTTTTTAGCCTGTATCCCGACGGGAGGGCAGGAGAGTGTGAGCCTTGTTATTGCTCTCGCTTAACCGATCAAACCTCACCTGGACTGATCCGGTTTCTCATCTTCTTCCACACCGCGTACTGCAAGGGGCCTTGAAATGACCCGATGTTCAACCTTCGGGCAGGCACGACCTCACAACTTGCAATGTCTTGCTTCAGCCTGTCGAGCGGAAAAGATGGCGGAGGCTCGAGTTATTTTGCCGCGGTTTGTGCCTCACTCATTGCGCAACCTCTTACCAGCGCCATTCCTCTTTTGTTAACTTCATTGGAAGAGGGCATTGCTGTCGAGGCCAGCATTTATTGCCTGTCCTTAATTGCCCCAAGGGGTAGCTAAGAGTCAACCACGTTGCTGTGGGCCTGGAGTCACATGTAGGCCAGACCAGGTAAGGACAGCTGTTTCCTTCCCATTAGTGAACCAGATGGGCTTTTCCAACAATCCACAAAGGATTCATGGTCACCATCAGACTCTTAATTCCAGATTTTTATTGAATCCAAATTCCAGCATCTGCCGTGGCGGGATTCGAACCCAGGTCGCCAGAACATTACCTGGGTCTCTAGATTAACAGTCCACCAATTGCCTCCCTTTCACGTACCAATTAGGAAGCATCAGGATTCAATGGCTGCTGGGCTCCAGTGTTGCCAAGGCCGGGCAAGGCCGAAGCCTAATCCCCACCGGGGGAAGGGGAGGAGGCCACAAAATATTAGCATGGAGGGTGGTAGAACATGGGAGGTGCTGGGATGATCTAGTTCTAGTGCAATTCTGCCCAATTCAACACTGGCTTTAACCCCAGGGTCTTCACTGAGCACGGCTTACAAGAGTGCGGGATGCATAAGACCATAGGAACAGGAGTAGGCCATTCAGCCCCTTGAGCCTGCTCCACCATTCAACAGGATCATGGCTGATCCAACATTCAAATCCACTCCCCTGCCCTTTTCCCTGTAACCCTTCATTCCCCTAGTGATAAGGCTCTATCTATCTCAGCCTTAAATATACAAAATGACTCTGCCTCCCCTGATCTCTGTGGCAAGGAGTTCTAAAGACTCACGAGAGAAGAAAATTCCTCCTCATCTCAGTCCATTAGTGCCCTTTTATTCTCAGACTATGCCCCCTGGTCAAAGACGCTCCCATGAGGGAAACCATTTTCTCAGCATTTACCCTGTTAAGCCCCTCAAGAACCTTGTATGTTTCAATGAGTTCACCTCTCATTCTTCTAAACTCCAATGAATCATCGAGTCAGAGAGATGTACAGCACGGAAACAGACCCTTCGGCCAACTCATCCATGCCGTCAGGATATCCTAAATTAATCTAGCCCCATTTACCAGCATTTGGCCCATCTGCCTTTAAACCCTTTCTATTTATATACCCATCCAAATGCCTTTTAAATGTTGCAATTATACCAGCCTCCACTACTTCCTCTGGCAGCCCATTCCATACATGCACCACCCTCTGTGTGGAAAAGTTGCCCCTTAGGCCCCTTTTAAATTTTTCCTTCTCACCTTAAACATATGCCCACTGGTTTTGGACTCCCCTACCCTGGGAGAAAATCCTTGACTATTCACCCTATCCATGTCGAGTACCTATTTCCTTCCCTGAAAGGCATCAGTGAACCAATTGTGTATCTTGTGATGAGCAACTACAGTGTATTTGTGGGAATATACCTGCAATCGTACATGTGCGTACATTTACAGATGCTTCTGTGTGTTTAAGCTGTGCTGCATCGTATCTGTGCACCTATATACGCAGACATGGGTGCATAAGGATATTGTAAAATATCTCAGAGACCACAACGATTCAAATCTTACCTTTCCGATAGGTCTTTGACATCCTGTGAAATGAAGGAAGGACAATGATTGTTGTGACAAAAGATTACAGTGACACTTTCCAACATCTCAGAACAACTTCACTCAATGAACAGCAATAGAGAAGTCATTGTTATTATTTAGGCAAATCAACACAAAAGCTATTTCGCAGCAGTGACGAGTGACATCAGCGGCTGAGGCCAGAGACTCCCAGTGGGTATCAGGTATGGAAAATAGTGGCAGAGGAATTGAGGAATGGGAATGGCAGCAGACTGAAGTAAAAGGGAGGAGGAAGATCCAACCATAAAATCCCTAGAGTGCGGAAGGAGGCTGTTCAGCCCATTGAGTCAACACTGAAGAGTATTCCACTCAGAACAACCTCCCTACTGCATCCCCCTAAACCTGCATGGGGTTAATCCACCTAACCATATCATCCCCAGGCATTATGCGGCAATTTCTCATGGCCCATCCATCTAACCTGCATATCCCTGAACACTATGGGCAATTTAGAACATAGAACATAAAACAGTACAGCACAGTACAGTCCCTTCGGCCCACGATATTGTGCCGAACTTTTACCCTAAACCTAAGATCTATCTAACCTCCACCCCTACCTTATACTATCATCCATATGCCTATGTAATAGCTGCTTAAATGCCCCTAATGAGGTCAACTCTGCTACCCTCTCCGGCAATGCATTCCACGCACCTACCACTCTCTGAGTAAAGAACCTACCTCAGACGTCTCTCCTATATCTATCTCCACTCATTTTAAAACTATGTCCCCTCATAATAGCTACCTCTACCCTAGGAAAAAGTCTCTGGCTGTCCACTCTATCTATATGTCTGATCATTTAGTACACCTCTATCAAGTCACCTCTCATCCTTCGTCGTTCTAAAGAGAAAAGCCCTAGTTCTCTCAACCTTTCCTCGTAAGACCTTCCCTCCATTCCAGGCAACATCCTGGTAAATCTCCTCTGCACCTTTTCCAACGCTCCCACACCTTTCCTGTAATGAGGCGACCAGAACTGGACACAATACTCCACATGTGGCCAAACCAGGCTTTCATATAGCTGGAGCATAACTTCACGGCTCTTGAACTCAATCCCACTATTAATGAAAGCTAACACACCATATGCCTTCTTAACAACTCTATCCACCTGGGTGGCAGCTTTCAGGGAACTGTGGACATGAACCCCAATGTCCCTCTGCTCCTCCACACTGCCAAGAATCTTTCTGTTAACCCTGTATTCTGTTTTCAAGTTTGTCCTTCCGAAATGAATCACCTCACACTTTTCAGGGTTAAACTCCGTCTGCCACTTCTCAGCCCAGCTCTGCATCCTATCAATGTCCCTTTGTAAGCTAGAACAGCCCTCCGCACTATCCACAACTCGACCCACCTTCGTATTGTCCGCGAACTTACTAATCCACCTTTCCACTCCTACATCCAAATCATTTACAAAAATCGCAAATAGAAGAGGACCCAGAACACAGATCCTTGTGGTACACCACTCGTAAGTGAGCACCATGTTGAGTATTTTCCATCCACTACCAGCCTTTGTCTTCTAAGGGTCAGATAATTCTGAATCCAATCTGCCACATTTCCCCCTATCCCATGCCTCCTTACCTTCTGCATGAGCCTACCATGGGGAACTTTATCAAATGCCTTACTTAAATCCATGTATACCACATCCACTGCTCTACTTTCATCCACGTGTTTGGTCACCTCTTCAAAGGTTTGTGAGGCATGATCTACCCCTCACAAATCCATGCTATCACCAATCAAACTGTGCCTTTCCAAGTGATCATAAATCCTGTCTCTCGAGCCATTTCCAATAATTTGCCCACCAGATGGACAACCCACCTAACTTGCACATCTTTGGACTGCGGGAGGAAACCGGAGCACCCAGAGGAAACCCACGCAGACACGGGGAGAATGTGCAAGGTCGACACATGATTCCTCATACAGCAGCAACTTTGTAAGGTTTGTTTGCTGAAGGAGGGCCTTGCTGGCTGGGCATTTATTGCCCAGCCCCAGTTGCCCTGGAGAAGTTGGTGGTGGCGAGATGTTTTCCTGAATCTCTGTGGTCCACAGGGTGTCACCTACTCTACATTAGGAACAGAATTCCAAGATTTTGATCCACTCGGAAAGTGCTTTTGAAAGAGCCTTGATGTGTTATGTGGTGTCAAGCTTCTTGAGTGTTATTGGAGTTGCATCCATCCAGGCCAGTGGGGAGTATTCCCGCAAAATTCTGACTTCTCCCTTGCAGATGGTGGACAGGCTTCGGGGAGTCAGAAGGTGAGTTGCTTGCCATAGAATTCCCAGCCTCTGGCCTGCTGTTGTAGCCATAGTATTTGTAGGGCTAGTCCATTTTAGTGTCTGGTCAGTGGTAACTCTCGGGATGTTAGACGGTGTGGGGCATTCAGTGATGGGAATGCCATGCAAAGTCAAGGCGATAATGAGATCGTCTCCTGTCGGATATAGCCATTGCCTGGTACTTGTGTGGTTCTTCAGGTCTTTTGTGAAATGAAATGTCCCAGGGCTTCACAAAAATATTATAAAACAAAATAACACTGAGACACCAAAGGAGATATTGAGTTCTAAGGAGAGGCTGAGTTGGCTGGGGCTTTATTCACTGGCGCATGGGAGGTTGAAGGGTGACCTAATAGAGATTTATATAATGAAGGGCATAGTTAAGGTGAATGGCAGGTATCTTTTCCCTCGGGTGGGGGATTTCAAGACTAGGGGACATACATTTAAGGTGAAGGGAGAAAGATATAAGAAACAATGTGATGTCTAATGTTTTTATACAGAGATTGGTTTGTTTGTGGAATGAACTTCCACATGGTGGATGTGGATACAGTTACAACATTTAAAAGACATTTGGATAAGTACATAAATAGGAAAGGTTTGGAGGGACATGGGCCAAATGCAGGCAGATGGGACTAGTTTAGTTTGGGATTATAGTCGGCATGGACTGGTTGGACCAAAGGGTCAGATTCTGTGCGATATGAGTCAGATGAACAGAAGCTTGTTCAAAAGGAGTAGACTTTAAGGAGTACCTTAAAGGAGGGAACAGAGCAGGCTTGCGAGGTTATTCCATAGCTTAGGGGTTAGGCAACTAAATGTGCAGTCAGTAACGATGGTTGGAATTAAAAATAGGGATGCTTAAGTGGCCAGAGTTAGAGAGGCACAGATTTCTTGGAGGCTGGTGGGATTGGAGTAGATTAGAGAGACATGGAATGGGGTGAGGATTGGCAAAGAAGGATACGAATGACGAAGCCTGACATTCAACTGGGAGCCAGTTTTGGAGAGGAAGCACAGTGGGGGGATGGGCGAGCAAGACTCGGTGTGAGCTAATCCAAGAAACTCAGGCAATTTGGGAGTGAGCAGGGAATAGTGGGTGAACGTGAGTGAAACCTACAAGGGAAGGAGGTACAGTGAGGGCAGGAGGGAGGGAAACTGTGATCGGAAGAGATGCACTGGCCAGCTCTGTGGTGTGCAGGAGAGTTTTGTGAGGTCTAAGCAGTCCTCAGGGTTATTCTGACTGAGGTGAGTGGCCACTGGGACAAGGACCCGGTCAGGAGTGGGATAGTTAGGGAGCCTTTCGCTATCCTGGCGTCATTCCACTGATTTGCTGGCTTGATTTTCGCTTCGTGCATCCCAAGTGTATGTACAAGTGTTCATTACATTTACTGCATAAAGATTTGGATCAATTGTGCAGGAATCGGCTCTAATCTCGTTATATTTACCTTCTTCATCCACAGTAAGTTTTATCTGTTGCTGTCAATGTTTGTTTTGGCCGCCAACTTCAAATCTCATTATCTTTAATCTTAACATTTTAATTTTAAAAAAATCATGTCTTTGCTTTCTAGCACTTCTAACCTTCACCTGATCAATATTAACATTAAGACCATTGTAAAGGGAAGCTGTTTATTTTTAACATCCCACTCCACACTCAATGCTGGGGCTGGGTTTTGTGTATGAGATGATACTGTGTCTTTAAAAAGTGTGTTTGTCCTGGTTTTTTTAAGAGAGAGGTTGGGGGACAGGTGATGAGCAGTCTATGGGAAGATAAACCTGTACCTGTGAAGCCCTGTGTTTCTGTTTTTTATAAATTTGGAACAATAGAAGCAGCCTGAGTGGGTGTGGTCAAAGCTCCCATTCACAGAACCAGGATCTCTAGTTAGTTTTCAGCCAACATTGTTGGGGTCCTGAAGAGGTTATAGCTATTTTCTCACTCTCCTAATTACAGCTAAAAGCTGGGAGTTCTCTGTCTGCTATGGGAGTTGCATGTGAGACAATCTGTGTCTGAATTTGCCTTTTGTCAAGGCTGTGTTTATGGGATGTTACTATACTGGAACAGTTAATTAGTAATTGTTACCATATCAATTATTCTGTTAAGTTTTCCAATAGAGTTATTTCAATTCCTTCTTTCCTTTGTTGTATTTTAACTATCGTGGATGGATAAAATGTGTTTGCCTTAACTCTGATAGTTTGACCAACTGGAATGAAACCCCTTGCATTTACCTTTAAAATATGGAGAAGTTAGAGTCTGAACTGTCTTCTGAATATTTTGCGGGAGTTTGGACCGGACTCTAACAGGGTGGAGTGCAGAGGAGTGGTGACAGTGAGGTGAGGGGCGTTGTGAAGAAGCAAGTTGGGAGAGTTACATTTCATACATTAACAAAAATAAACGTACTTGTTGATTCTAATTTTAATCATGGACATATATTCCTACAGCCTTAACTAATTGCGTTATCTCTCGAAAGAGAACCTGAACAAAGTTCCATGTGAATACAGAAGGGAAATGGTACCACTTGACTGTGTCATCTAATAAAAGAATTACTGTGGATGAAAACAGGAGCCCCTGAAAAACACAAAGTAGGCCCCAAAAATCAAAAAAAAAGATAGCCCTCCAGGACCTCTTGAGAAAAAATTATTCCAACCACTCTGGATATTTCCCACTTGCCTGGACGCGTGCACCTCCAACAACACTGAAGAATGTTCCTGATTTCGGGAAGTCCAGAACTAGGGGTCACAGTCATAAGGGGTGAGACGTTCAGGACTGAGAATGAGGAAGAATTTCTTCACTCAGAGAGCTGTGAACCTGTGGAATTCTCTCCCGCAGGAAGCTGCTGGGGCCAGTTCATTAGATATATTCATGAGGGAGCTGGGCATGGCTCTTGTGGCTAAAGGGATAAAGGGGTATGGAGAGGAAGCGGGAATGGGATACTGAGATTGCATGATCAGCCATGATTATATTGAATGGTGGTGCAGACTCGGAGGGCTGAATGGCCTACTCCCGCACCTTGTTTCTATGTTTCTATGTTTCTAGTCTCCATCTCTCTTTCCTCTTTCTGTCACACCGAGCTTTATAGGTCCTGGTGCCCCTCCCTCTATGTGTCTCATTGTCCAATGCTGTTTCAGCGGAATGCCTCGCGGTGCCCTTCAATGGAACTCGCTGTTGTGCAGTCAGTTCTGACTCAAAGCTAAAGTGGAGACCCACCTCCAGCCCAGTCCCCACCTCCTCTTCCTGCCTGCAATAGGCAGGGGAATGGGATTCCCAAACAGCCTTACCTGAAGTAAGCAAACTGGGTCTTCCTCGTGGAGTCTTTGTTGAATGCTGGCGAGCATGGTTTCCAGGGTGGATTTCTCTGCGTGTAGCTTCTTCAGGTTCTCCTGCATCTCTTGCAGGAGCTTGTGCTCCTCCTCTCGAAGCCTGCCCAGGACCACATCCTGCTCCTCCTGCAGGAAGTTGTGCAGCGCGTCGAACTCCGAGGCGATGCGATTCTTTATAGTCTCCGTTTTGTCCTGTTTGATACAGACGGCAAGCTGAGTTCACAGTGGATAGCCTGCCATTGACAATGCTGCCTCCCCACACCACAACATCATCAGGGCAATATCCAGGCTTGGGCTGACAGGTGGCAAGTAATATTCGCGCCACACAAATGCCAGGCTATGACCGTCACCAGTAAGAGACAATCTAACCACCACCCTCTTGACATTCAACAGTGTTACCATCACTGAATCCCTCACTATTAACATCCTGGGGGTTACCATTGGCCAGAAACTCAACTGGACTTACCACATAAACACAGTGGTCACGACAGTAGGTCAGAAGCTAGGAATACTGCAGCGAGTAATTCACCTCCTGACTCCTCAAAGCCTGTCCACCATCTACAAGGCACAAGTCAGGAGTGTGATGGAATACCCCCCACTGCCTGCTATCTACAAGACGTACTGTAGAAATTCACCAAAGCCCCTGAGAAATCAGCTTCCAAACCACTTCCATCTAGAAGGACAAGGGCAGCAGATACATGGGAACACCACCACTGTCAAGTTCCCCTCCAAGCCACTCACCATCCTGACTTGGAAATATATCACCATTCCTTCACTGTCGCTGGGTCAAAATCCTGGAATTCCCTCCCTAATGGCATTGTGGGTCAACCACAGCATGTGGACTGCAGCAGTTCAAGAAGGCAGATCACCATAACCTTCTTGAGGTTGAGTAGATTAGGATATTTACATTAGAAAGACGGAGGTTGAGGGGGGACCTGATTGAGGGCTACAAAATCATGAGAGGTATAGGCAAGGTGGATAGCAAGAAGCTTTTTCCCAGAGTGAGGGACTCAATTACTAGGGGTCACAAATTCAAGGTGAGAGGGGAAAAGTTTAAGGGAGATATGCGTGGAAAGCTCTTTACGCAGAGGGTGGTGGCTGCCTGGAATGCATTGCCAGCGGAGGTGGTAGAGGCAGGCATGATAGCGTCATTTAAGATGTATCTGGACAGATACATGAATGGGCAGGGAGCAGAGGGATACATATCCTTGGAAAATAGGTGACAGGTTTAGTTAGAGGATCTGGATCGGCGCAGGCTTGGAGGGCCGAAGGGCCTGTTCCTGCGCTGTAATTTTCTTTGTTCTTTGTTCTCAAGGGCAGTTAGGGACAGGCAATAAATGCTGGGCCCAGCCAGCGATGCTCACATCCCACAAAATGAATTTAAAAATAAAACCTGCCAAAGAAGGCTTTGCAGCCCATCGGACCTATACTGGCCCAGTGAACGAATAGTCCAATCCCACCTTCTCTGTTGCTCGGTAAATGTTACATTTCTATATTTTCATCTTCGTGCCTTTCAGGAATTACTATTGGATCTGCTCCACTGCCTATTCAGGCAGCACTTTGCAAGTAGAGTTACAATTGGAATTAGAATTAGAAATTAGCTTTATTGTCACATGTACTCACATGAGTGCAGTGTTAAGTCTCCAAGTCGCACTTAGGTAAAAGGTACCTGGGTACAGATCCTTGAGAAACAACTACAAAATGCACACAAATATAATTTTGCATATGTAAGAGATGTCTTTAGTTTGTTTGGATAGAGTCAAACTCCAATATTTGTTGGTTTCCTTGACATGCTACTGTACAGAACGAATATTTATTTTATGAATAAAGGATACAAAGACTTTTTTTTTACGAATAAAGCATATTTTTGAAATTTAAAAAAAACTCTCTACAAACCAATTGTTATCCTGATTTCCTCACTGGTCCTTTCGATCTCACTTATCTTAAATCTGTGCCTCCTGCTTTTCGGCCATATGCCAACGGAAGCACTCATTCACCCTATCATAATCTGCAATGTTTGTTACATGCCCCCTCAATCTCTACCGTCCAAAAGAAGACAATCCAGACTCACCTCGGTCTCTCATTATAACTGAGGTACCTCAACCCTGGAACCTAATAAATCTTTCCAAGGCCTTAGCATTTTGCCAGGATTGTCGTCCCCAGAATTGGGCACAATCTTCCAGTTGGGCATGAACTAGTGTTTTGTAAAGTTGTCCGCTCTGAGGCCAGTCATTTTTAATCTGTGTCCTCTGATTGCTGAGCTCTAACCATGGGAAATGCTTCTTTTCATTTCCACTATCGAAACTACACTGCTATGAAACCTCATCTTAAAACTTTCTGCTCTTTTTCGTGATAGCTAATTGCACTTGTTAGGAAACAGTGACTTTTTTAAAAACAGGAAAGCACGTCCAGTCATCATTTTCTTCACAATTACTGGACTGCATTTTTGTCCTGCACCGCCAATTAGCTGATGGAAAGAATTGCAGGAGTTGGGAATCGTCAGGGAATTTGCTTTAGCTTTCTCAGGAGCATGAGGTAAAGCATAAACCTGATGGTTTAGAATTGAGCACAAACTGAGAATCAAATCTTGGCTTTCCGGGGGGCTGAGCCGTCATTGTTGTACTGAGTGATGTCTTTTCTACCAGGTCAGCTGACAGGGTTAAATGTGGATTCGCACTGTGCTATGTTGGTTGACTGATGCCCCTTGAGACCAGCTGTAGTCTCAGATCCTCTTTCTTTATCTCCACCTGTGGAGGGATTTTGCTTTAAATCCTAGCGGGGTTATGCAGAGAGCAATACATCGTATCACTAACTACAGGGGTCTCTGCAGTCAAGGTGAAAAATGTGCACCTAGGACTTGCCTCAAATCACAAAGACGCTATGTAATAAGAACAGGAAAGGCCGTTCAACCCCTCGAGCCTGTTCTGCCATTCAATGTGATCATGGCTGATCTGTGGTCTAACTCCTTTGGTCCAGATCCCCTCAAAATGCTTGCTCAACAAAAATGGATCTATCTCGGATTTAAAAGAACAACTGATCCAGCAATCACTGGTGTTTGTGGAAGAGAGTTCCATACCTCCCCAACCCATTGTGTGTAGAAGTGTTTCCTAACATCTCTCCTAAACTGTCTGATCCTCATTCTCAGGCCATGGCCCCTGGCTCTGGAATCCTCAACCAGTGGAACTCGTTCAATTGATTCAGTGTTTACTAGATTCTTACAGAGTAGGAAGGTGTAAAGGCCAAGTTGGACATGATTTACCAAAGTGGACAGAAATTCACAAAGTCTTCTCATGCAGCACCTTCCAAACCCACGGCCACTTCCATCTCGAAGGGCAAAGGCAACAGACACATGGGAACACCTGCAAGTTTCCTTCCAAACTACTCGCCATGTTGACTTGGAAATATATCGCCATTCCTGCAGTGTCGCTGGGTCAGAATCCTGGAATTCTCAGCCTAACGGCATCTATCTACTCCACATGGACTGCAGCGGTTCAAGAAGGCAGCTCACTACCACCTTCTCAAGGGCAACTAGGGACGGGAAACGAATGCTGGCCAGTCCTGACACACACGTTCAACGAATGAATGGAAGTTTTTTTTGCTCCAGGGAGGAATAACATCTGCAAGACCTCCTTCTCTTGTTAAGCGATGCCTCCATTGGAAAGAACATGAGTGTGGCCATTGTTTGAGAACAGATAGAGTTCCAATGCGGTGCCCACACAGCCCCATAGCATGTGGGCAGTGAATGTGTATTGCCCAGGCAATGACTGATCACTTTGGTGAGATGGTGGAGACTGAAAAGTCATGAGTGGATGTATAACCAGGCACTGGCAAATGGAGAGGGGCAATACACAACGTTCTCTATGACTGTAATTGAGTATAATAGCATAACCAGCAAGCCAAGCCGAGTGATCTGATTTCAAATCCCACCAGAGCAACTGTGACATTTAAATTCAATTCATTATATAAATCCCAGAATGGGGAGGGTCATGTCAGTGACTGTGATCAGCTCGGTACTAAATCGTTGCTAAAGCTCATCTAGCTTACTGATTACCTTAAAGGAAGGAAATCCACCATTATCACCTGAGTCTGGTCCAACTTATGACTTTAGCAAAGCAGTGGAGCTGTGATATCTTCACGAGATTTGTAATCTTATTAAACGCAGGTTAATGTTCCGGGGACATGGGTTTGAATGCCACGATAGCGGATGGTGAAATTAGAATTCAATAGAAAGCTAGCCTGATGGTAACCACTGTCAAGTGTTGCTAAAACAACAAAAAATCTGTTCCTCTAATGCCATCTACAGAAAGAAATCTGCCACCCTTACCTGGTCGGGCCTACATATGACTTCAGACCTACACTAATGTGGCTGACCCTCACTGCACATAGAACATAGATAATGACAGCACAGGAACAGGCCCTTTGGCCCATGATGTTGTACCAAACGTGACGCCAAATGCAACCAATCCCTTCTGCCTGCCCTTCGTCCATATCCCTCCATTCCCTGCATGTTCACGTGTTTATCTAAAAGTCATGTAAACGCCCCTAACGCATCTGTCATAGAGTCATACAGCACGGAAGCAGACACTTTTGTCCAACCACTCCATGCTGAACATAATCCCAAACTAAACTCTGCCTCCACCATCACCCCTGGCAGTGCATTCCACACTCCTAACACTCTCTGTGTAAAAAAAAACTTGCCCCTCACATCTCCTTTGAACTATCCCCCTCTCAACTTAAATGCATGCCTCTATTATTGGGCACTTCAACTCTGGGAAAAAGATTCTGACTGTCGACCCTATCTCTGCATCCCATAATGTTATAGAATTCTAAGTGGGAGGTGTTGACCTACTGGTATCATCACTGGACTGTTAACCCAGAGATCGAGCTAATGTTCTGAGGTCCTGGGTTCGAATCCCACCATGGTCGAATCTGAGTCTAATGACGACCATGAATCCATTGTTGGAAAAACCCTTCTGATTCACTAATGTCCTTTAGGGAAGGAAACTGCCATCCTTACCTGGCCTACATGTGAATCCAGACCCACAGCAATGTGGTTGACTCTTAACTGCCCTCTGGGCAATTAGGGATGGGCCATAAATGCTGCCCGGCCAGTGATGCCCTCAGCCCATGAATAGTTAAAAAAACAAGTCTCCTCTCAACCTCTGCCACTCCAGAGAAAACAATCTGAGTTTTTCTAGCCTCCCCCTGTAGATCATGCCCTCTATTGTGTGGGTTGTTAGGGCTGGGCAATAAATATCAGCTTAGCCAGTGATGCCCACATCCCGCTAGCAAATAATGATTAAAAAAGATCTAAAGCCATGTGACTGACTCTAAACTTCCCTCTGAAATGGCCTAGGCAAATACAATGGCTCCAGAAAGGGAGTCGTTATGAGATTCTTGAAGTAATCATGGATTGGAAATACATACTGACTTTGCCAGCGATGCCCACAAACTTCAGACTTTGGTTTTGTTGTCATGAGTACTCAAGTACAGCAGTACAGTGAAAACTGCATAATGTTACCACACACTGCGCCGTCTTAGCTAAAAAGGTACAAAAAGCAGCTACAAAGTACTAAAAGAAGCAAAGTTCGAAAAGTTAAGCATCACCTTCATAGAATAAGTAGAAAAATAAAGACAAAGCAACCATGAATCAGTTTAAAAAAAAAGAAGTGGATAGGAATATATGGATTGCTCGGTGATGCGTGAGCAAGACATTTGTTCAATTCATTTTCCACCATCCGAGGAGTTGTGTGGGAAAGTGATAGCGGAATTGTTCCCATTCAGAAGGAAGCCATTCAGCCCTCAAATCTCCTGTGGCTCGTTGACAAATTGGGTAGAGAAAATTCTGCCAAGGAGGTGCAGGAGTTATCTGATGGCAAGGTCAGGAAATGCTCCAGAGCCCAAAGGGATCGAGCCAGTCAGAAACGTAACAGTTTATCAGCTCCCAAATGGATGTGTAGTCCTCAACCACTGATCTTTCTTTGTTTGCTGCCCTTGGAAGAGCTGCAAGTCGCAGGCAGGAAAATCAGCAAGGCAGCACAAGAAATGGACAGAGATTGCTATACTTTGGCGCTCAGCTGAAAGCAGAATACTGATGGAAATCTGAAAACAGAAAGTGTTGGGGAAACCCAGCAGCATCTGTGCAGAGAGAGATAGAGAAACAGAGTCAATGTTTCTCAAGTCTGCTATGCATCTTCTTCAGATGGTTTTCAGTGAAGAGTCATCTCAAACCAGAAGTGTTAACTCTGTTTCTCTCTCCACGGATGCTGGGACTCTCCAACACCTTCTGCTTTTATGGTGGCATTCAACTGTTGTTTTTACATCTTGCAATTGCACACTGGTGAAGAGGGTTAAGTAGAGGCAAGATTCACAGGCTGGTATGTGTACCCTCTCCGTAGGGATAGACTCCTTCGCAACAGCTATCAGGTTGGTTCATCCAGGAGGGCTTGGGGCTTCCCTTCATTACAGTGAGGGGATGCTCACTCACAATCATTACAGCCAAGTCTCCCGCTGGGTGACAAACTAAAATTTAGATTCGCCCTCTAAGTTTCTTGCAATGGGACTGGGCGGAACAGAATCATACAGTTATGCAACACGGAAACAGACCCTTCGGTCCAACCAGTCCATGGCAACAATAATCCCAAACTAAACTAGTCCCACCTGCCTTTGCTTGGCCCATAGCCCTCCAAACTTTTCTTATTCATGTACTTATCCAAATGTCTCTTAAATGTTGACACTGTACCCCCATCTGTCACTTCTTCAGGAAGCTCATTCCACACACAAACCACACTCTGTGTAAAAAAGTTGCCCCTCTTGTCTTTTATACATTTTCTCCTCTCACCTTAAAAATATGCCCCCTAGTCTTGAAATCCCCCACCCTAGGGAAAATACGCCTACCATCTTATCTATACCCCTCACGATTTTATAAACCTCTGTAAGGTCATCCTTCAATCTCCTACGCTTCAATGAAAAATGTCCCAGACTCTCCTCATAACTCAAACCCTCCATTCCCGGCATCATCCTGGTAAATCTTTTCCGAACCCTCTCCAGCTTAATAATCTCCTTCCTATAACTGGGTAACCAGAACTGGACACAGTGATCAAGAAGTGGCCTCACTAACATCCTGTACAAGCTCAACATGATGTCCCAAGTTCTATACTCAAAAGGTCTGAACAATGTAGGCAGGTGTGCTAAACATCTTCTTAACCACCCAGTCTACAAGTGACACAAACTTCAAAGAATTATGTACCTGAACCCCTCTCTGTTCAACAACAGTACACAGAGGACCATTACTATTAACCATATAAATCCTGCCCTTGACAACAAGGTGCAGGGCTGGATGAACACTTTATCTGCAGTTCCTACTATCTCTGATTAATCTACAGTTCCTACTATCTCTGATTAAATCTGCAGTTCCTACTATCTCTAAATCCTGCCCTTGTTTGTTTTACCAAAATGCAAGACCTCGCACTTTTCCAAATTAAATTCCACTTGCCAATCTTCAGCCCATTGACCCAATTGATCAAGATCTCTTTGTAATCTTAGATAAACTCCCTCACTATCGAAGAGGTTTGACTCAGGAGCCAGAGTGTTATGCCAAGTTAAAGGTTTGCTCCATTGAGACTGAATTGTCATTTGCCTTCAGATAGTTCATAGGTTCACTGCTTGGGGAATTGGAAAATGTTGCTCTGGTGCATTGGGAGGGGGAGAACATTGAGCGATGTAGATTTACTCTGTGGCTCACTCATGCTGTACTCAATAACTTCGTCAACAATGGATCCTGCAGTGGTTTTAGCCATCTCTCATGTCCCCACTCCATAAAGTGCATTGGGATAACAAATTTAACCATGTCAATGGGCCCAGAACCAGGCTCCAGGGCTGAGAGATTTTAGACACTGGGTTGAGTTGGAGAAACTGGGACTGGAACTTCGAGGCGAAATTGGATAGAGCCCTCCAGGCTTACGATAGAGTTTGATAAGATAGACAAAGGAATATTGTTCCTTATGGCTGAGTGCACAAGGACTTGGGAATACAGGAGATTAGGTTTTGGGCAAAAGAATCACCTCACTAGTTCACCAAAGCTGGTGATTTCAAAGCAAAAGTGGCTGGGCATTGTCAGGGATAGAGTGGGATTTGAAATTGACTGGATTGCTAGTCAGAGGGCTAGCATGATCTCAATGGATTGGATGGCCACCATCTGTAGCATGATAACGTCATGACTCCACGTCCCGCTGTCTCCACCGGCCGCAACGAGCAGTGACCTTGTGAAAGGGTAAGGCACAAATGCTCATTTTGGTGGTTCGGCGAGATTAGTTCTCATTTCCCTTTGCGACTATGCTGATTGGTCCATCAACGAAAGCTGGAGTATTTACCTTGAGTTCCAGGACTGCCTTTTCCTGACTGGCTTCGATCCTACTGATGGCTTCCACCCGCTTCTCCAGTTCCCCTGAAGATTCAGTTAGCTTTTCCTACAAAAAAATTGGACAAAAGTGTAGGCCAGGTCTCCTGGTTCATGATTTGGCTTTCATAGTGATGTGGGGTAAGATCACATCAGTCTGTTGTCTGTTTCAGAGTCGGACTGAGAGCTTTGCATTTCCCCAGTTTACCACAGGTGTTGGTGGTTAGAGGTTTTCCTGTACAGCTGTGAAAGTTGTCATTATTTGCTTCATTCAATATTGTTGGTTGACATTCTGGAACCCAGCCACCGAAAATCTCCTCACACCCAGTGCCCATCGCTGGGATATTGGCAGCTGGAGCCACAGTCAAGGTCTCCCGGTACCAACCAGAGCAAAGCAGCTAACCGGGGGTCTGTCACCCTACTCACCACCCTCCGTCACTCCATCCGTCATTAAGGGTATACAAGGCACACTCTAGGCCATGGCCTAGTGGTATTTTCGCTGGACTGTCGATCCAGCTAACGCCCTGGGGACCCTGAATCGAATCCAGCCTCGGCACAGCTTTGAATTCGCTAAAGAATGTGGAATTTAGAGTTGAATGATGACCATGAAACCGTTGCATATTGTCAGGGAAATCCCATTCGGTTCACTAATGGGAATTGAATCTACCATATTCGATTGAGTGTGGCATCAAGGGTGCCAAGAAAAAGGGTGGCACTGTGGCTCAGTGGTTAGCACTGCTGCCTCACTGTGCCAGGGAACGCAGTTCAATTCCACCCTTGGACGACTGTCTGTGTGGAGTTTGCACATTCTCCTTGTGTCTCTGTGGGTTCCCTCCGGGTGCTCTGGTTTCCTCCCACAGTCCAAAGACATGCAAGTTGGGTGGCTTGGCCATGCTAAATTGCCCCATAGTGTCCAGGGATGTGTAGGTTAGCCATGGGGAATGCAGGGTTACAGGGATAGGGTGGGTCTGGGTGTGATGCTCTTTGGAATATCATTGAAGACTGGATGGACCAAATGGCCTGCTTCCACACGGTAGGGATTCTACTCTATGATCCTTACCTGGTCTGGCGTCTATGTGAGTTTAGACCCACTGCAACGTGATTGATTCTTAACTGCCCTCTGGGCAATTAGGGATGGGCAATAAACGCTGGCCTAGCCAAAGACACCCTCATCCCATAAATGAATTGAAAAAGAAATGCTCACCCAGGCTCACCCTGGCAGCGCCTTCCAAGCCCTTCCCATCCATAAGGGCAAAGGTGGTAGATGCTGGGAAACACCATTGTATCCAGGTTCTCCTCCGAGCCAGATGCCATCCCAACTCAGAGGTAAATTGTTGGATGAAAATCCTGGATTTTCCTTCCTCAGAGCACTGTACACAGTAGGACTACAATGGTTCAGGAAGGCAGCTCATCACCGCCTTCTCCAGGGCAATTAGGGAAAGGCAATGAACCTAGTAACACCTCTATCCTCAGAATAAATTGAATAAAGAACATTTTGCCTTTAGGAGCAGGCACCACCCTGCATTGTGAGCTCTCCCAGCTATGACATTGCGACAAATACAAATGAGGATGTCATCTGATGCCAGGATTGTGGGAGGGGCTACTGGGCAGTCCTTTCCCATAGACCCATCCCATAGATTTTAGCCAGGAATTCTCTTCCTGGTAAACTACGTGGAACTTCATGCCATAACTCAACCTAACCTGCACATCCCTGGACACTGCGGGGCAATTTACCATGACCAATCCACATAACCAGCACATCGTTGGACTGTGGGACTGGTTCAGCTTCGGAAACCAGGAAATGAGTTGGGCTGAAGGGCCTGTTGCCATGCTGATGACTTGATGAGCTCAGGAGTATGGGATTGGACTGTGCCATGCCGATATCCCATTGGGTTTGTGAATACATGCTGGAACTGTGGGGCATTAGGTGTACGTGATCTTTTCTTCATGGGGCGTCAGTCAAAAGGACAGCTTCAATGTGAAGAGAACCTTACACTGCGCCTGAACCATTGAGATCCTGTGCAGTTAGGCAATGCGGGTTGACCCTGTCACTGTTTCTAACCTGTAGCATAAAAGATACAGGACTACATAATGATGATAGTGGAGTCATCCCTCTCTGAAACCTGGGATACACTAATTGGCTTAGCAATAAAACAAAGTGGGAATTGGAGTGCAGGGAAATCATAGAATCCCTATGGAAGCAGGCCATTTGGCCCATTGAGTCTACACTGACCCTCCAGAGAGGGTTCACCCCATCCCTGTAACCCTACCTTTCCCATGGCCAATCCACCTAACCTGTACATCTTTACACTGTGGGAGGGAACCAAAGTAGACACAGGGAGAATGTGCAAACTCCACATAGACATCCATGGCTGGGATTGAACCCAGGTCCGTAGCGCTGCAAGGCAGCAGTGCTAACCACTGAGTCACTGTGTCACCCTCTGTGGCTGTTGGGGAAAAGCCCATCAGGTTCACTAATGCCCTTTAGGGAGGGAGACTGTCATCCTTACCTGATCTGACCTACATGTGACTCCAGACCCACAGGAACATGGTTGACTCTTAACCCACGGCCCCCGCCCCAATCCCAACCCCCAATTAAGGAGCCAATAAATGCAGACCCGGCAAGTGAATCGTGTGAATGACTCTTACACAGAGAAATGTAAAGTCCTTACTTGGCAGTACTGCATAGTCTCGTGAATGGGCACGATTCGATGCCCCTTATGCTCCTTAGAGACTCCGCACACCACACAGATGGCCTGCTGATCGTCCTGGCAGTACAGCTTGAGCTTCTCTTCGTGGAGGGGGCAGAGTGCGGGCCCCGAATCAGCCGAGGGGATCGGGGCGGCATCGAGCCGGAGTTGCCGGACCCTCTCCACGATGTTGGCCAGCAGCCGGTTGCTCTTGAGCCGCAGCTGGGGGAAGGTCTCCTGGCACTGAGGGCAACTGAAGCCCGACTCCAGCTCGCCCCAGGCGTCGGCGATGCATGCCCGGCAGAAGTTGTGCTCGCACTCCAGCCTCACCGGATCCTGGTACAGGTTCAGGCAAATCGGGCAGGTCACCTCGCTGGTCAGGCCCTCCGCCAATACCCACGACGACATGATCACCCAGGCCACGCTCTGCCCACTTTTCACCTGGCTTCCAAGGGGACGTGGGAAATCCGTGACTCTTCAGTTTCCAGTTGGGAACTCTTTGGCCTTTTGGACGCAATATTGAGTTCAATCATTTTAGGGCCTGAGCAACTTCTGCCATGTCCTTATCCCAAACCCCATACACCAGGCCTTGTCATCACAGTTAGTTGCTGCTACACACAACCCATTGTCAGCTACTAATGGCCCCCAGACTGAACTTCACCCTCTCCCCTGTCTGTCCACCTGTTTTTCTCTCTCTTCTCAGGCTCTATCTCCACCTTTTGTTCACTTCTCCTCCCACCCCATCTTCTGCATAAATGCCAAGCCTTTCCTAGCTGTCATCAGGTCTGAAGATCCGAAAATTTAACTCTGCTTTCTCTCTCCACAGACGCTGCCAAACCTGCTCGAGTTTTTGGTTGTCTCTCGTCAAATACTTCATGCCCTCATACCAACAGGACAACCAGGATTAGGCCATTTGGCCCAACGAGCCTGCTCCACCACTCAATGTGACCACCTCCGACTATGTACCCTGTTCCTGCTTTCCTTCATATTCTCTAAACCTTTTAAGCTTTCTAACCCGTTCTTGAAATAATACAATGTTTTGCTCTTAGCTGCTGTCTGCAGTGGGGAATTCCACAGGCTCCCCACTCCCTGGGTGAGGACATTTCTCCTCGTCTCAGTCCTAAATGGTTTACCCCATGTACTTAGACAGTGGCCCATCGCTCTGGACTCCCCCACCTTTAGGAATACCCTTTCTGCACCTCCCATTCACTTTTTGATGGACCCTTTCTGTTTTCACTCTCCTCCTGTGCTTTGCACACTCTTAGTTTCTTCCTCCCACTTTCTTTCCCTTCTTCTTTACAGTATCAAAGTGAGTGCAACGTTAACCAGCTGATGCAAATATACACTTTGTGCTTCACCCCCATCCAGTTAAAATTTCGATTGAAGTCTCGAACACAGGCTGAATGGGGTGACCTCATAGAGGTTTATAAAATCATGAGGGGCATGGATAGGGTGAATAGCCAAGGTCTTTTCTCCAGGGTAGGGGAATCCAAAATGAGAGGGCATAGGTTTAAAGTGAGAGGGGAAAGATTTAAAAGGGACCTGAGGGGCAAATCTTTCATGCAGAGAGTGGTGCATGTGTGGACTGAGCTGCCAGAGGAAGTGGTGGAGGCTGGTACAATTACAACATTTAACAGGTATCTGGATGGGTACATGATTTGGAAGGGTTTATAGGCCAAACGCTGGCAAATGGGACTAGATTAATTTAGGATATCTGGCCGGCATGGACAAGTTGGACCAAAGGGACTGTTTCCATACTGCGCATCTCTACTTTGATTTCCATGGACCAAGTACTGGAAAATGTGATTAGCATAGTCAAGTGTTTTTTTTTGACTAGCACAGACTTGATGGGCCAACGGGCCTTTTTCTGTGCTGTACACCTCCAGGACCATGACATATCTATAAAAAAATGATACTCCAACCGATCTGGTGAGAGAGCCCCTGGGCTGATTGCATGAAAACTACCTCCCAAATATCTCGTATCACAGTCCTTTTTGGACATGAGGCTGAGTCATTTAAAATGAGCTGATGTCCAAGAACACACTGGTCTGTTTAGAACTGTTCCAAAACTCCCCTTTTCTCATCTTTTTCTCTTTCTTTTCGCCCTGTCTGTTTCAGTTGTCACCTTCTCTGAAGAGTCCTCAGAAATGCTGTGAGAGAGCCAATCCGATTAAGGGCAGTTAGAGATATGCAGCAAATGTCTTCCTTGTCACCAGTGGCCAGATAGAGCAAAAAGAAACACCCGACACTCTCTCACAGCCCTTGTGGTTTATTATTCTTCAAATATTTATCCAATTTTTGTTTTAAAGTTATTTGCATCTGCCACCTACTGAGTTATTAGGAGATGCTGGGACAATTTTTCCTGGAGCATGCAAGATTGAGGGGTGACCTTATAGAAGTTTATGAAATCATGAGAGGTGTGGATAGGGTGAATAATCAAGGTCTTTTCCCCAGGGCGGGGGAGTCCAAAACAAGAGGCAAAGGAACAAAAGCGGAAATTGCTGGAAAAGCTCAGCAGGTCTGGCAGTATCTGTGAAGAAAAAACAAAGTCACAGTTAACATTTTGGATCTGGTGACCTTTCCTCGGAAAAGATGTTTTTGTTCCTGATTTACAGCATCTGCAGTTTATTTTGTCTTTTTTTTAACTAGAGGGCATAAGTTTAAGGTGAGAGGGGAAAGATTTAAAAGGGACCTAAGGGACAACTTTTTCACACAGAGGGCGGTGCGTGTATGGAATGAGCTGCCAGAGGAAGTGGTACAGTTACAATATTTAAAAGGCATTTGGACAGGTACATGAACAGGAAAGGTTTAGAGAGATATGGGCCAAACGCTGGTGAATGGAAACAGGCCAGGTTGGGAAACTTGGTTGACAGGAACGTGTTGGACTGAAGGGCCTGTTTCTGTGCCGTGTGACTCTATGACTGTATCCACCACAACCGAAGTGACCAGAATTAATGCCATTTCAAAGCCAGTTTGCCTAGTTCCTTAAATTATGTGGCCAGCCGACTACAGAATTGAGATAATAAGCTCATCGAGTCAATGTTAAGTCAATAATTCAAAGGCTCACCAACTGTTCCACTAGATATCCTGGTTTTATGAATCAAAATGGACAGTGGAGGTGGGGTGGGGGGAATGTGGAATCATTGGTTCAAGACGAGTTTATCCAACCACTCAAGCCTGTTTGACCAGCCACCTCAATTACTGTTGTTTTATCTTGCAATCCCACATACTTGCTACAGTTCCAAACACATTAGCCCCGCAAGCCTGCTCTCCCAACATCAATCTTCACGGACCTCAGGATGAAGAAAAAATGCCCAAGGAGAGAAATTGAGAAGTTTAGAAAAAAAGATACCCAGTGAATGCTGAGTTTGGTTTAAAATCCTGGATGTCATTGGAGGAAAGGGTAAAAATGAAGGAGTTTCTAATGTTCAGCAGGTTCCTGGAGGGAAAGGAGGAGGTCGCAAAGGGAATGGGACTATTTAGGGAAGATTGAATTCGACCGAGAAATGCAAATGCGGACACAATAGTGTTGAACCGTGCTTAAAATAGACTGGCGTGCACCCAAAGCGGGTGAGATAGGAAACCAAAATAGACAATGCACAAAAGACACAAATCAGTACTGCACTGTTTGGCTAGAAATGGCTTGAGACTAAACTTCTACTGAACATACTCATATCGTAAGGATGTCTTACCCTGGTGGAATGACTGCACGCTGCACAGGGATGACTCAGACCAAGAAGCTGATGTGGTTTCGGGTTCACACGAGGAATGGGAGCACTCGATTTTGCCTGTTGGCCTCTGAGCTGGAAACTTCTGCAAAGAGGATTTGAATTGACTGAAAGAAGATGTGACTGGTGGAAAAGAGACACGGGGGAGGGACTCACTGAGCGAGAGAAGGGAAATAAAACAACTGTGAAGGCACATCAGTGTTAGTTACAGGGGTTGTACACGAGTGGTTAGCTTTAGCCATAAACCCAGAAGTAACCAAAATCAGGCAAGGGGCTGAGGATACTGGAGAACCGAATCAAACAAAATACAAAATTGCCAGAGAAACTTAGCAAATTTTGCCTGGTAGCAACTGTGGAAAGAGTAAAACAGATTTAATGTTTCATGTCCGATATGACTCTGCATCAGAACATTCTGTACCTTTCACAACCTCTGGTTGACCCAACGCACCTCACCACCAATGAAGTTGCCATAATAGTGTCGGATTTGTAGCTCCCCAAGCGACCACAGCACGCTCTCACAAACAGCAACGCACAATAGTCAGACGTTCTCGTTCCTTCTAAATTAATGATGCTTGAATGATAACCAAAGAGGACAATCCATGATCTTAGAATCACAGAATCCCTGCGGGGCAGATACAGGCCGTTCGGCCCATTGAGTCTCATGGAATCCTCTGAATCCCATGGAATCCCACTCCCCACTATCCCTGGAACCCCACGTTCCCCACGGCTAACCCACCTACCCTGCCCATCCCTCGAAACTATGGATGGTTAGGGGGAGGTGCCGGCCTGGTCATATTATCACTCGACTGTTAATCTAGAAACTCAGCTCATGTTCTGGGGACCTGGGTTCAAATCCTGCCGTGGCAGATGGTGGAATTTAAATTCAATCAAGAATCTGGAATTAAGACTCTAATGATGACCGTGAATCCATTGTATATTGTCAGGAAAAACCCATCTGGTTCACTAATTTCCTTTAGAGGAGAAAACTGCCATCCTTACCTGGTCTGGCCCACATGTGACTCCAGACCCACAGCAATGTGGTTGACTCTTACTTTCCCCTGGGGCAATTAGGGATGGGCAATAAATGCTGACTGAGCCAATTAGCATGGCTAATCCATCTAATGTCTGCGTTTTCTGGACTGTGGAAAGAAAATCCATTATTCTTGTTTTCTGTTCTCTCTTCAGCCACCATCTCAGGCTGGGCCAGTTCCTTCTCAAACACTGCGACCTTTACTGAAGCAAAGAAACAGAAGCTGCTAGCAAAGCCCAGCAGGTCTGGCAGCGTCTGTGATGAGCAGTCACAGTCAGGTCAGGTCCAGCGACCCTTCTTCAGAACTTCCTATAATTAACCCTGAGTTGACCCAACTCAACACTGAGAGGGAAACCAAGAAGCCAGTTTTTTGAAAAGAAAAACAATAGTAATCGGAAATGAAAGCCCTGGTGACAGCTCCATTTCGAAGGCGTGTGGGACCATTATTCTCAAGTTTCACCAGTTGAGAAATTTGCCTGTCATATCATCCCTCGATGACATCAACTTCCTCTACTTTTGCCTGAGCTCATCTGCCGCTGAAACCCTCACCCTAAGGACTCGTGTATTGTAAAGTGTTTTTGTCTGGCTTAATGTCATCGATTGATTCATTAATTTATTTGTTGTCATGTGTGCCTAAGTGCAGTGAAAAC